TGTAGTCCTTGTGTGGGCTCAGCTATCTCAAAAGCATCTGCATAAAAGATGTACTCACATGTTGTGGCAAGGAACGAAGCAACAGTCTGTTTGAAAGGCCTGCCATTGCTTGGCCAACCCATATTTTAGGCGCTGGGTCATGGTTCCCAAGTCACCTTGCCTGATACTTTTCTTTGAATATCTAGGTCTAAGATTTGCTTTTGACAACTTAATTTTTATTGAATGCCCCCTTATTTTTTTTTTACCAGTAACTTCGCATTATACTCCTTCAGCTCCCATACCCAATATCCTCCTGTGTACAAAGTAAAATAGTTAAACAGAACCAAAAGAAAGAGATTGCATCTTTCAGTGTAAAAAACATCTGGCAACCATAGCCTACTTCCTCTATATACTTAGAGAAGGGGGATCTATTTGATCATCGTTTGGAATGATATTTCTCAGCATCTTCTTTGACCCCATCTTGGACCCTTACTAATTGCATGATCATAGTCAAGTCACCTAAGTTTTCTGATCCTCCCCACCTGTCAAATGAGGGGCCAAGATGGCCTCTGAGATCTAGGCTTCTAGGTACCTCTAATGCACAGTCCCTACCCCAAATCTGCCCAACACAGCTAACAGCAACAGCCTTTCCTTCACTCTCAAATTCAAGGATTCACTTCTATTGTTGATAGAGTTCTTGAGATCCCAGCTCTGAGAACACCCTATAGGTGAAGCCAGAGAGCAAAAACAATAAGTAGACTGAGTAGATTAATATGACCAAATCCTCCAATTTAAAGGTGGGACTAGTTATGGAAGAAGAGAAAGGAGTGACATTAATTGATTTGGTCAAGATTACAGGCTCATTCAGAAACATAGCCAGTTAAAACCCACTTTGCTGGGACATGAAAAGATCCTGCTCTGTGTGAAATCCTACTCTGTGAAGAACAAAAATAAGGTCCCAACTTAGATGATAAAGCCACTGTCAAAGCAAGGTTCCAGTAAATTTGTAACATCTTAAAAAAAAATTGTATATTAGATGTCCCAAAAGTCTTCATGCAGTTTTAAGCTATTTAAAAACTTAAATCTGTACCAAGACTTTTGGGACGCCCTATATATTCTATTTCTTCCTAAAATGTTGTAGTCATGCTTCAGACATTTGCACATGAACACGTGTGTGCACATGCGTGTGTTTATAGTTGTACAACTTCAAGTTTTACTATATTATTCTGCTTTACATTACTGAAGTCGTTATACACATTTTTCTGGTTCTGCTCCTTTAAGTGTATATGTCTTCCTACATTTTTCTGAATTCTTCATTGTTGTGATTTTTTACTAAGCAATAATACCTCTTTACATTCTTGTATTACGAATTATTTGGCTATTTGTCCAATCAATTGGTATCCACTTATTTCCAGTTCTTTGCTGCTACAAAAGGTACTGGTATTTTTTTGGGGGTGAAGGCAATTGGGGTTAAGTGACTTGCCTAGGGTCACACAGCTAGTGACAAGTGTTTGGTCAGAGGCCAGATTTGAACTCAGGTCCTATTGACTCCAGGGCTGGTTCTCTATCCACTGCACCATCTAGCTACCCCAAAAGGTGCTGTTATGAGTATTAGTCCTCCTCCCCAGCCCTCTCCCATTTTTCTGCATGATTCCAAATTGCTTTCAGAATGATAGTACCAATTTAGAGCTCAGTCAACAGCATATTAGTCTGCTTTTGTCATCTTTGACAAGTTTCTTGGTGTGAGGTGAAACCTCAGAGTTGTTTTTAGGTTTATGTACATTCACATTTGCACTTGGTATATTTGTAATGTGTTTTTTTTTTGGGCAACTTTTTTTTTCTACTTTCCATTTTCTAATTTTTTTAAAGAAATACAATTTGCATTTCTCTTGTTATTGGTGATTTTGACTAGTCATTCATATGGTTATTATCTCTGTTTCTGGATAGCTTTTCATGACAGGGCATATCAGTTTCTACTTAACTAGCATCAAATTAAACAAAATTGAATTTCTCAATTGATATCTTTTCATAATAATTTTTAAGATTCTTTCGAATGAGTCTCAGTTCCTTTTGAAGGAAAGAAGTGAAACCTTTGAGTGATCACATAATCATAGGGGAAATTGCAATAGCCAGGAGACTATTGACTGGCTTTTGGATAGAGGTCTTTGTGTAATCTATGAAATATTAACAGCTTGTCCCGTGTGTAGTCAGCATGGGTTCTCTTTCTGTCAGTAGATTTACAATGAGTCACATCAATCTCCTTTTCCCTGCACACGTCCTACTCAAGGAATTTCCCAGTGACTTATTTGAGAAACGTCCAGGAAATTACAATAGTATGAATGAATTCTGAAATAATGGCTAAAAAAATACTTGCTAAGTTTTCAGTTTTCATTTGACAGGAAATATTTTGTACGAAAAGAAAATGCTATGCTTTTTTTTTTAAAAGGGAAAGAGATGATGGATTCATTCAATATTTCAGGCAAACCCCCTAGACATTTAGTTTACTCTCTTAATCCCAACATAATTCATAGAAGTGGGAAGAAATATCATCCATTTTGACAACTAGGTGTTAGAAACAGTTTCTCAGAATTTTTCACAAATTCCCACAAGAAGCAAACCTTCCTGCTCAGCAGACATGCCTTTTTGATTCTTTGGACCTAATTAAAAAAATTAAAAAATCAGTATATATGTATATATTTACATATACACACATATGGGGTCATAGTAGATAGACAGTCTGCCTTAGAGTCAAGAAGGTTTGGCCTCAGGTCCTGTCTCACAGACATCTTGGCTTTATGACCTTGGGCAAGTCACTTAACTCGGAGGGTGAGGAGAGGAGGCCCCTGGGTAACTCTGTAAGAGGGAGTTTCCATATCAGTAATGAAATGACAGGTTTAGACTAATGTTTTTCTTTTTAAAACTAGAAGCTACATGGCACAGTACTTAGATAATTGGGTTTCAATTCAGAAAGAACTGAATTCAAATCCTACCTTAGCTACATAACCATTGGCAAGCCACTTCAATCTTCTGAAACAGGGAATTCCTTAGGATGCATGATAGATGGATTATTATCTCAATTGGTAGAAGGAATTCCCACACCGGGAAGTCCTCACCCCAATGATCTCACAGATGCTTTGTGAATTTGCATTTAGATCAGGGTTTCTTAAACTAGGATCTATGAACTAGACGGATAGACAGACAGAATAGATATATAGATATAGATATATCTATAATCTATAGATATATTTGTACACAAATCTCTACATAAGTATATATATATATTTATATGTAGATCTATATAGACATGATCTATATCTATGTATGTGAACTAAATGTTATGTATGTATACAGAGATATACACACATGTTTATATGTATACATGCATATAAATCTGTATTTCAATATATTTAATTTCCTCTATAATCTATTTATCTAACATATTTGTTTTATTTTACATTTTTATGTTTATTTTATATTTAATTTAATTTCATTTAGTGTATTTAAAAATAATAACGAAAAAGGGTTCAAAGGCTTCATTAGACTGATTGCCAAAGAGGTCCACGACCCAGAAAAGGTTGAGACTCCCGATTTAGGTGGCTATGTGTCTTATACCGGTTCTCCCACTTGGTAGAGTCCTGAGGAATTCATCTAACATTTTTAGTTTTGCTTCCTTAGCAATGCATGAAACATATGGGTTGTTGAGAAAACTAGCAGTCACTAAAAAGCGTGTTTTATATTGAAGTTGGTTTTGTTAGCTGTTTCCTAAAGCTGACATACTAAATTATTCCAAAATTCCCTTTAAAAAAATGAGCAATATTTCTTCTGTTCCCCCAACCTTAATAGTTATAATAATTTGGTATAAAACTCTTAGGAAATGTAATATTCCACTTTGTCATGCTAAACAATAATGTATGTGATTCCTGAATTCTTGATTAGCTACTTAGCTCTCTCCTCTCTTTGTGGGCTCAGGAGCAAGTCATGGTAAGGATGTAATTTTTTCTTGTTTTAACTGGTGATGGGTAAAAGGTTAAACAGGAGGGCTGGATGCTAATCTTGGAAAGAGATCATGGTCAGATATAAGGAAAAGAGAAAGTGATCTATCACCATAGAGCTGAAATATTCTAGTTGTGTGGCAGCTCTGAGTCTGTGGGGCTCTGAATAGGGAGAACCCTATAATCATAGCACTACAATAGGGCACTAGAGTATGGAAAAGGGCAACACTTCTTACGACTATGTAGACCCATGGGTCATTCCCTCCTCTAGCTACAATGAAGACCAGGACTAGTATAGGGCAACCAGAGCTTTGACCCAGAGTACCAAAATTTAAAGGGTGCTGTTTTCAGTAGCACTGAAATAGCTCAGGTTAGCAATTGGTTAGTGCAGACAACTAATCAAAACAAGAAGCTACTTAGTGGCATTTCTGATCCATAGCAGACTATAATTCTCCTAGAGTTCCGTCCATGGCTTCCCCATGTAGCCCGGGAGACATGGTCCCACAGTTCCTATCTCTAACCCAAGGGATAGGGTCGTGGGCTCTCCAATTCCTGGACTGCATATATCTTTTAAAAAGTTCATTTGAGGTCATTTTTCATATGTTTTGCCCAAGATGTCCAAATTGTTACTACTCTTACTATGATAGTGAGTTATTCCTCCATATCTGCAATAGGACATAATTAGCATTCCTCTATGCCTGAAGAGGCATATGATTGTGGAGCTAACTTGCTGAATGAATAATCAATCAAAGGGGAACTATGAAGTTTGAGTAAAAATCATCAGGATATTGTGGTCTTACGGCCATTGACTTGGGATACTGGAAGATGAGCTACTCTGAATAAGATAAGCTCTGGAAGATGAGCTACTCTGAATAAGATAAAAAGCTAAGCAAATGACATGGGAATGCTTTCAACATATCACATCCAAACACCTGAAAAGAGACAAGAGAATCAATTATATGATGACAGCTGCGCTGTGATTCCAAAGTCCTCTAAAACTTTGCAAATTTGAAATGTTCAAAGGCTTACCTTCAATGGTGCACTGATCTGGGACTGGAATGCTCCTCCCAATTTCCATGACATATGCTTTCACTTTGCTGAGATTTTCCTTTAAGTGCAAATAGAGTTTATCCTGGTATTCCACATGACTTTGTGCAGTCTCTGGTGTTTCTTCATGGCCATTCTCTTTAACTGCTTCTGGCAAGTTCTCAGATTCTGTCCATTTACTACTTGGGTGTGAAATTGGAGAAATTTCCAGCTGTGATTCTTCAGTATCTGCCTTAAATGGTGACTTGTAATTTTCTTGGCTAAGTGTGTCTATTTCTGAAAAAGAGATGCTGGCCATTACATCTCCACTCTTAACATCTTGCTCGTCATCTGGATTTGTGTGATTTAGGTGGACTGCATGCAAAGCTAAACTTTTTGACCTATAATGTAAACAAAGGGAAAATTAAAATGTGATTAAAAAAAAGATTCATTAGAGGATGCCAAGTGAGAGAAAGGTAACAAGAATGCAGTTTCTGGAATGAGTCCTGATGCCTAGATTGTACAAAAGGTTGCTTTCAAAGTGATTCACTCAGGAACTCAATGAAGTCACCAAGTGAGGCATAGGAAAATCCTCCAATGTACTAAACTTGTGAAGTATTCAGGTCATTAACAGCCTGAGGGTATATTCAAAGTCGAAGACCAAAGAATTCAGAGTAAAAATTAACTTGCACTGCCAAGAATAGCCCCAAACCATTTCTACATTTTCCGAACCTGTAATTTTATCTGTGTGAATGCCCCCTCTGCAGATGTGGGTCATAGCCACAGCTGCAACTCACCTGAGCTTCAAGAATGCCTGGGGCCATTAAGTTCATTTCTTCCTGTAGCCAAGCTGGTGATGAGACTCCCTTAACTTAGCTAAGGCTGGTCAGAACATAACAGCCCATTACTAGCTCCATTAGCTAAGCTGTTCCACCTTGGTGAGCCCTTTTGGAATTCATTCTCTGCTGGCATAGTTTTAACTAACTCAGGGTCATTTTCACACCACAATAAATGAATGGAAGAGTGGAGATATGTATACATATATACACATAGTACATACACACACATGTATATATGCACATATACATATGTATATGCGTGTAAATCTTAGGGTTTTCTTCTCAAAGATAATCTATTGAGACTTTTGAATTTTTATTGTCAATACTGTCACTTTTATTTAAAAATAAAATAAAATTTTATTGAAACTCCAGCACACCATAAGCTTTCCTCTTCCAGATAACAATCTCTTAAAAACTAAGAATAAAAAAAAGAGGTAAAACCAGTAACGGTTAAGCAAAAGTAACCAATAGATCAAAAAAAATCTGGCATATATGCAATGTCTCATTCCCATAGTCTTCCACCTCTGAAAAAAAATAGGTGGGCATCTCTATTCTTAATACTTTTAATGGCTTTAGATAGTACCTCCACATAGAAAGACCTTAATAAATGTTCATTGATTATAGGATCATAGGCCTAGAGCAAGAAGAGACCCCAGAGCCCACTTAATTCAACCCTTTCATTTTAAAGATTAAAAATCAAATTGACTTTTCTTTTCTTTCCTTTTCTTTCCTTCCAATGAGTCAATGCCTGCTAAGTGCTCTTTGTGAACCTTAGATGCCAGTAGGTGGTTATCACCACTATCATCAAGAAAGACATCAAGTAATTCAGGAATTAAATTTCTGAGCACCACAAATATTAGCTATTTAAATCATCCCCATAACACTGAAAAAAATCTTTATGATAAAACTGCTGAGAAACCTGAAACTCACAGGTGTCCTACCTGTTAAATCTCATATCTTTTCTTTCTTCCTTTGAAACTTGGCTTAGACTATATCTTCTAACAGAACCAGGAGGGCTGTTCTCTCCATTTATTTTCTCTTCAAAAGCCTGTATCTTAACTTGCAGCCTTTCATCCTCTTCATTTCCTTTACTTGCAGTAGATTTGAGATCTTCCAATGGTTCTGAAGGTTCCTTTTCAGGCTCACTTTCCATCCTAAAGGAACACAAATGATTGAATTAAAAGCTGTCATTCTATCCTTTGGGAAGGTTGGCATTGTCTCTTTGACTGCCTTTTATACTGAATGACAAACTTTCAGGTGAAATATTTTTTTTTTAAAAAAAAGCATGTCAATTCAGTTTAATTCAATTTTAACAACACATCTGTTAAGTGTCTTCTTGGTACCAGACATTGTGCTAAACCCTGTTGATACAAAGACAAAAATGAAGCCGTCACTGCTCCTTAGGAGTTTATTGTCTGGGGTGGATGGGGACAAAACATGTATAAAAATGACTATAACAAAGTATTTACAAAGTAATAAAATAGAATTCAAAGGGGAGAACCAGCTAAGTACCTTGAGCTGTGCCTTGAAGAAATCAACGAGCAAGTGTTTATTAAGCATCTCCTGACTACAGGCCCCAAGAAGAACACTAGAGTCACAAAGCCAGGCAAGGAAAGAATCCCCATTTGGAAAGAGTGGATGGGGATTCTATGAGAGGGATAGTTTTACATGGCAGAAGCATGAGAGATGATAAGGAAAAAACAAGCTAGCTTCCTGAAATAGGATAAAACTAAGAGTTCAAATCCAGCCTCAGATGCTTGACACTTACTAGCTGTGTGACCCTGGGCAAGTCACTTAACCCCAATTGCCTCATCAAAAAAACAAACCAAAAAACCCTAATAGCTAGTATCTGGCATTTATACAACTCTTGAGGGTTTACAAAGCACTTGTGTTAACTTGTTCAATCCTCCCAATTACCATGGAGGGCAGGTACTATTATAGTCCCCATTTTACTGAGGAGGAAACTGAAACACAGACATTAAGTGATTTGCCCAGAATGTTTGAAGCAGAATTCAGTCATGTGTTCTGGACTCCAACTCACACACTTTGTACACGTATGACCTAACCGTCTTAGTATAAAATATCGTTAGGATCAAAGCAAGTCAATCTCAAGTGTGAACTGGGCCATTCATTGTTTCATCAATTCATATTTTTGATATTTATTTCATGCCTACTGAATCCAAGGCCCTGGACTAGGGGGTTAAGGGGCTTTTAAAATTGCATAAGACATAGCTATGGCATCCACAGGGCATGGACTTTCCAGCAAAGGGTTTTCTTCTGCTGGTCAAACATTCTGGAAGCTGTTTCCTGTTTGGCCAGGCTGCCAGCAGTGCTAATACGTTTTCCTGCAAAGGTGACAAAAACAGGAATGTTCATGGCCAGTGATAGGTAGGCTCCATATCACCTTTAGGCAGAATGTTCTCACAGTGTGCACATTTGCACAGAGTTGATTCACTTTTTGGAGGTTGGCAGATATTCCCTTGAAGCTGTGTCCTCTGGGAGGATTTGGAAACAGATTACGGTAAATAGCTCAATGGATAAAATGAGGAATTTTCCTTTGGGAGTCCTTCATGGATTTCTCAGGCCTCATTTCATGGAATGTTTGAACATTGTGTTGTAAGCATTATGATAGACACTGCGTATCTTCAAAAATAGAGAGTAAAGCAGGCCCTGCCCTCAAAGAGCTTACATGCTATTGGAGGGACACAACACACAAATAGATAAAGAAAAATTCACAAACCAAGGTAACAGTGAAGAGTCTTCTCCCATAGCATGAAGAGCTCCCAAAGAACTGAGCTCCCATTTGTGCTGGAGCTCATAATGACATCCTGGGTACATTCACAGTAATATTGGTAATAGTAGCAAAAGTAGTCATAAATATATAGCTTCAAAGTTTCTTTTTACTAGTCTAGGGCATAGCTTTTAAGTATATATGCCATCTCTCTCATGGTGGTTTTCATTAAATCTTCCCTTCTCCAGAGCAAACAGCCACCAATTCTTCCAACAATTCCTCATTGGATCCCATTCTAGATAACATGAGATAGGATTAGAACTTTGATCTCATTAATATGGAGAGCTCTCAGTGAGGAAACTCCCTCCATGAAGGTAGATAGACACTTTCTTTGAGTTTTATAATTTGAGAGTTGCCAGAAGTACTGAAGAATTAAGTGATTCCACCAGGGTCACACAGTCAGTATATGTCAGAGACAGGACAGTCTTTCTGACCTCTGAAACTGGCTTTCCTTCCATTTTACCACGCTGGCTCCTCATTTGTCTGTAGCTTTCTTAAACTATGGCACTCATAACTGATCACAATATTTCAGTTATGCTCTTACTTGAATCTCTGGGGCAATTCAACAGTAAAATATAGCCTTGTTTTTCAAATCTGTTTGTTACGTTACTATATCTAGGATTTTTTAACTTATAGGATGTAAAGAAGTAATGCACTACCCCCACCACCCCATGCCTACATGTCAGATGTTAGGTATTATGTTTTAATCTTCAAATATATGAGCAAGAAGTTCTTGTAATTGGGACTTTAAATTTGTTGATTTTTTTTTCCTGTTAAGCTCCAGGCTATAATAACAATGACAGCAACATTAAAGCTGAAGAGAACATTTTTCTTCCACAAAATTTCAAGCTCCTAATTTTGTCTGACTATTGCACACCCTCATTGAAATAGCTGCTAATCCATGTCTTATATAACCCTGAGTTTCAAATATCTCTTATTTATTACTTATAGTATTTATATTTTTCATGTCTCAAAGACTGCTTTAAAAAGCTTCACCCATCCTATATACTGTGGGACTACAGAAATAACTGCAGAGAGATACAGATATAGCCATTTCAAGATCCCCAAGCTCCCTTCACTCCTTCCCCAAGAGAACACAAAATCAAACATATCTTGAGCAAAAGCAATGCCTTTCCAATCACCTTTCCTGGGATTCCCTGGTTTTTACCAGGAAATAACACACTCTAGAGAAAAGGAGACCAGCACAGCCAACACTGATTCAGCTCCAGCAAGACAAGTCAAGAGAGATCTCTACAAGTTAATCCATTGCTACATTTCTTATTCCATTACCATCAAAAGTACCTTAGGAGTCTTAGGAGGTGATCAGCTCCCTGGAAGTTTTCAAGTAGAGGCTGAATAACCTCTGGTGCAAAACAAAGTCTTGTTTAGGTATAAGAGGCAATAAATTGCCTCTGAGATAGATAGATAGATAGATAGATAGATAGATAGATAGATAGATAGATAGATAGATAGATAGATAGATAGATATAATGGATGGATGGATGGATGGATAGATAGATAGATAGATAGATAGATAGACAGATAGACAGACAGACAGACAGACAGACAGACAGACAGACAGATAGATAGATAGATAGATAGATAGATAGATAGATAGACAGACAGACAGACAGACAGAAAGCAGATAAGATAGGTAAATAGTAATTACATAGATTGAAAGTAGTCAGCTAGCTAGCTAGCTAGCGGGTAGAATCGGTAAATAGCAAGTAGAATGACAGACAGTAGACAGATTGGTGGATATGTGTTAGAGAGAAAGAGAGAATCAGAGACAGAAAACATTCTATGATGTTCTTCAGTTGATGTGCCAATGAGTCTGTTTCCTACTAATACCTTTATGAAAAATACATTAAATACATGTATACTTGACTCTAGTAAAAGTTGGCATAAAGTTTATTAATAGTTAATGTTTTCTTAGTAACTTTTTTTAGATATTTATAACTTTTAAAAGATTTTTTCTATGCCTTTGTTATTTTCCCTCCTTCATGTATTCCTCATCACTTTTCATAATTATATCACTACCAGAATGAAATTAATCTCCCTTATGTACAGTTATTCCCATTTTTGTTCTCTTTAGTTCTATTTCTATCTCCTCTATCAGCACAACAGGAATTCTTATGGGAGAGACCAAGTATGGTGGCTATACCATCCTTGATAGTGCAAACAAATTGCTATAAAAATCTTTGCAGATCTTTTCCATCTTTCCTTTGTTATCTTCCTTTCATTTTCATCCTTAGATGCCCTTGGAATCACTGCCTAACTGAGTCTTTTGCCAAACTTGCTCTAAGTTGGTTTCAATTCCCATGGCTTCTCTCTGAATTATCCTCCTTCATAAGATTTTAAAAATGAGTTAAATTAGAAATTTATGCTGATGGTGGTCAAAATACCATCTGCCTCTACTTGGCAAGTAAGGCAAGTCTTTGTGACCAAGGTGATTTTTAAAGCTCTTTTGGTTTCCTTGTTATGTACATAACTTTTACATCAAACTTTAATATAAAATTATTATAGCCATTTCTGCTACTACTCATTTTTCATTATCAACAACTTATCTAAATAGGTCAGGATTAAGTTATTTAAATTGCATTCCTATAGTTCAATATTTTTTTTCTAGATTTATGGCAATTCTGGTCTTTGTTCTAACAAGTTCATTGTCTGACTATAAGCAGATTGATTCAGGGAAGACTCATTAATGATTTTTTCCTATTTGTTAAAATTTGATCAATTTCATCTTTTTTGTGATATTATTTGGTGCCCATCATGTCATTAGTATCTACTAAGTCTTTTTTTTTAAGGCAATTGGGGTTAAGTGACTTGTCAGGGTCACATAGCTAGTAAGTGTTAAGTGTTTGGTCTGAGGCCAGATTTGAACTCAGGTCCTTCTGACTTCAGGGTCAGTGCTCTATCCACTGCTCCATCTAGCTGCCCATTACTAAGTCTTTCTTGAAGAAAGTATTCATGGTGGAAAGATATGACACTTGTGTATAGTTTACAAGTGTTTCAACTCTCTGACTCCATGTATGTTCAATGTTTTCTAACATATTTCTTACCATCTTCAACTTTTCTCCCCTTTGCATTTAATTTACCAAGTATCAAGGTATAATTTGATTTAATTTGGTGGCTCTTATAAAAGTCCTCATAACAATTCCACTGCCACTTTACCCTCTGAAATCAATGCTGAAGCATAAGCTGTAATTATTTTCATAGTAGTCTTTGTGCAACTATTTGTAATAGCTTTGCAGTAGAAGATGACCAAATGTCCCATGAAATCATGTATCTTGTTACCTTTGGACATATGATAAAACAAACTTTGTTGACTTCTGTCTTTGCCTTTCCAAAGAGAACCTG